CAATCAGCCACTTCTTCTGCTCAGGGACCATCAGGATATGAGAATACCGGGTCAGGGCGCATACTTCTACCACCTCCGACTAACGAAGATATCGCCCGTTACTTCTCTCTCATACACCCGCTAAAATACTCACAACCTCTTCAACCGTTACCATCACCATTTTCTCCACCTTTAAATGGCCTTACGATTACTGCTTACAATGCTGGTCACACTGTTGGTGGGACAATATGGCACATCCAGCATGGCATGGAATCGATCGTTTACGCTGTCGACTGGAGTCAAGCAAGAGAAAATGTCATTGCCGGAGCAGCATGGTTTGGGAGCTCTATCGGAAGCGGGACGGAGGTCATTGAACAGCTACGAAAACCTACTGCGCTCATCTGTAGCGCGAGCGGAGGAGATAAGTTTGCCCTCCCCGGCGGAAGGAAGAAGCGAGACGGGCTGCTTCTAGACATGATTCGGAGCTGTGCTGCCAAGGGAGGTACTGTGCTTTTGCCCACTGATAGCAGCGCGAGAGTTCTGGAGATTGCATATGTTCTGGAACATGCCTGGCGAGAGGCAGCTGATTCTGAGGATTCAAACGACCCTCTCAAGAACACGCCTTTATATCTGGCTGGTAAGAAGGCACATGGTACTATGAGACTGGCACGAAGTATGCTTGAATGGATGGATGAGAACATTGTTCGTGAATTTGAAGGCAACGACGGTGTCGAAGCCACTACTGGCAAAGCTGCCGGCGGAGCGTCCAACCAGCCGTCTAAAGGCGCGCAGAGCCAGAAATCGGCCACCGGTCAGAAAAGCCTTGGCCCATTTACCTTCAAACACCTGAATCTCGTGGAGCATAAGGCCAAGTTGGATGGAATTCTCGAGTCTAAAGGACCAAAGGTGATCCTTTCGCCAGATACTTCGCTAGAATGGGGACTTTCTAAACACGTCCTCAAGCATATTGCTGAAGGAAACGAGAATTTAATAATCATGACCGAACCGCTAAATTACCTCGCTGAAGAACACCGAGATCCAAATAATGCATACGAGAATATTCTGGGCTCCAAGATTTGGAAACTTTATGAAGAAAGGAAAGACGGGGTTGCTCTCGAAAAATCCACGAGCGGAGAATTGCTTGAACAGGTTCACAGTGGAGGAAAGGAATTTACCCTCACGGATGTCCAGAGAACTTCTCTAGATTCAGACGAACTACTCATTTACCAGCAATACTTGGCAACTCAGAATCAGCTACAAAACACTGCTCAAGTAAGGGGTAATACTACCTTAAACAACGCAGCCGATGCCATGGACGACGCATCCAGCTCTTCCGAGTCCGAGGATTCTGAATCTGAGCAACAGGGGAAAGTACTCAACTTTTCCGTCTCCCTGCCTCACTCTAACAAACGCAAGATGGGCCTCAGTGACGCGGACCTGGGTGTGAATATTCTCTTACGTAAAAGGGGAGTGCATGACTATGATGTCCGTGGGAAGAAAGGTCGAGAAAGGATGTTTCCCTATGTGGCAACGAGGAAGAGAGGCGATCAATATGGAGAATTCATCCGACCTGAAGAATACCTAAGAGCGGAAGAGAGAGAGGAAGCTCAGCTGCAGGACCAGCGCGCACCATCGTCTGGAAATGCCCCAGCAACCCCTGGCCAGAAGCGTCTCTGGGACAAGACTGGCGCTGGTGCTACTAATGGCCCCAACAAAAGACGCCAGACATCACAGCCTTCAGATAATGTCTACATACCCAACGATGGGCCATCCCCACCTAACGGTCTGGTGAGCAGCGATGTTGAGAATGCCGAGGCGTCAGAGGAAGATACCGAAAGCCAGACTCTCATTGAAGGGCCATCGAAAGCCACCATAGTACACTCTTCCATCTCATTAAATGCACGACTGGCATTTGTGGATTTCGCCGGTTTGCATGATAAACGGAGCTTGGAAATGCTAATACCACTTATCCAGCCCCGCAACTTGATCCTGATAGGAGGCACAAAGGACGAGACTATGGCACTTGCCGCGGAATGCAGGAACTTGTTGGCCGCGAATAGAGGAGCTGGTACCACATCAACGACAAAGCTTGGTGTTGATGTATTTACTCCCTCGATAGGAGACACCGTTGATGCCAGCGTTGACACGAACGCTTGGATGGTCAGACTAAGTCGCCCGTTGGTGCGGCGTTTGAAATGGCAGAACGTCAGCAATCTGGGCGTCGTGGCTCTTGTGGGGAATCTACAGTCCTCGCAAGCCATATTGTTACAAGAAGAAGTGTTGGAGCAGTCTAAGAACAAGGGTAAAGGGGAGGCGTGGAAGGCGACTGGCCCCGTGGAAAGTCAAGCCAACCAGTATCTTATCAAGAACGAAAAAATACCAGTTCTTGATATCCTACCTGCTAGCCTTGTTGCCGCAACAAGGTCGGTCACAAAGCCGTTGCATGTTGGCGACCTTCGTCTCTCTGATCTCCGCAAGCTTATGCAGTCCTCTGGCCATTCAGCGGAGTTCAGAGGCGAAGGCACACTTCTTGTCGATGGCTTTGTTGCTGTGAGAAAGGCTGGTGCAGGCAAGATAGAAGTTGAAGGTGCTGCTCGGCCATCACCGAACTATTCGACGACTTTGAAACAGAACGCCGGAACCTTCCTTGCTGTGAAGCAGAAGATATATGAGAGCCTCGCCGTTGTCTCTGGACATAGTGGCTGAACCCCCTGCCCAAACAACCAAACAGCTTTGAGTCACCCTTGGGTCAAATAGCAATGACCGGTTATACCCGTGAAGCCAGGAGTCATGTTTCTCCAAAGTTTGGTTCCTTGGGTTCTGGTTACTCTGGTCGCAGTGACTACGACACATACCCATCCCTTTAACTACATGGCCTTCACTGCCATGAAAATCGAGATTCCCTCCAGCTATTATTCCCCTTTGCTTCTGGCAGTCCCGTCCTGGTCTGGTGGAGTTTGTCACACGCCCCATGGGACAGCTTTGTAGTGACATGTTCGATTTGCTCTGTCGTCTCATGATTTTATTCACAGGCAATCTCCATGGCCACTTTGTAAGAAATAGGTGAAGTCGATGGTCGATAGAATGTTAAGAAAGGGAGCTATAAATCCAGATATCGACTCCCTCGCTCCCAAAAATACCTCTTTTTTTTTGTTCTTTCTTTGCACATACTCATTTTTTTCGCCAACTTCGATTTCCAGTTGTATAAATCACCCCTTTTCCAAGGTGCATTTAGTCCAAGTGCTCAACTATACAGCCCATCAAACGTTCCCAAGTGCTTCTCGAAACACAAACAGATTTACTCATTTAGGTGCCATGGCAGAAATGAGATACATCAGCCCTGATGGCCCACCCCTTGGAGGAATGCCTCCCCAAGATTTCGCCTTTCTCCAAGCATTTCATATGCCACACTTCATGGCATACCCCTCTATTATACAGAACCCTCCCCCAGGTCCGCCGCCCGCCTCAACCCCAGCCCCAGCTCCGGCCGCAGGGGCACCTGCAGCTACCCCTGCACCACAGGTTAGTACTTTCCCATTAACTATCTACGTTGTCCAACATGGGCTAACAGATCAGGTAATATTACATCAAACCTTTACGACCAACGTTCCACCTCCAGCTCCAGCGCCGATGGCGCCAGCGTCATCTCCACCTAGGGCTCCCAACCCAAACCCGACCGCTGCGCAGGCCCCATCTCCGGCAAGCCCACCTTCTGCGGCTCCAGCTCAAGGCCGTCGCTTGCCCAGTGGTGCATACCCTCCAGATAGCGAGCGGGCTATGGTCCTTCCAACTGGGCAGGGCTATATTTTCCCGAAGAAGCATACTACATTACATATTATCGAGGCATTCACTGCCCCCTGGGACAATCCTGGTAGCACTTTCCAATGGCGCTCCTATCGTGTCCCTTCTTCGATGTCAATCTCAGAACTCATAGATCAGCTGTGTCCGACAAAGGCACCGGACGGTCGCGATGCTACAAGTCGTGGGGTCATAGAGTGTCTTGAGATTGGTGATGGGACATGGCTCAAAGGTTCAGAATTTTGGATCGGAGGCCGTCGTGGCGGTGATGATAATATGAAGCGTCGTGTCTCTCAGAGCCTTACAGCCGTCGGTTGGACTGAGCAGCGAGGAACTATCGCTCAACCAGTCTGGATAACCCTAAGTATTGCGGTTTGACCTAGCGGCCATGACAGGATCTAGTTTGTTGCCTAGGAACCAGTCAACCTGTGGGAAATGAAGGCAGGCGTCATGGTAATAACATGGGCATGCTCTGCTACCAAGAGAATCATCGCCATGCCATACTCCATTTCCATGCGCAGCCCCGAATTAGTTCTCTTACATTTGATTTATTTCCATTTGGATATCCATTAGTTATCATGTTCTTATAAGTTGTTTTATGTTTGTCACTTAGATGTTTCTGGTGCAGGGAGAGAGGGATGCTATCTTGTCGCATTTTACTTTTATAGTTCCTTTCTAGAAATGAAATATTAATGCTGACCACCATTGAGACAATTTTTATCAAACAACGAGACCTCGTTATGGCGATGTCTGGTCAGAGCTTCCCGTATACGGCGACAAGTACATTTAGCTACAAAACTGGTCTAAGGGTGTAGTGAGCATCGGGTCTTCTTCCTGTAACGAACTCGCCCGGGTGGTCTAGTTGGCTATGATTCTCGCTTAGGGCCTTAACCCTAAGTACTTATATGCGAGAGGTCCCGCGTTCGAATCGCGGCTCGGGCCCATTATTTTTTGTCTTTTTTATTTTTTTAATATCTTCCACTCCTTCCACTTTCCGCCATAGTAAAGTAGAAAGAACGACCCTCATTGCCTTCTCTCCTATGTAGTCATTATGCGGTACTCATCTTCCACGCCTTAGTTGCGGCTGCTTTTAAGTTTTTACACGTGACTTATCTCTGCCAAGCATCGCAGCTCTTTTCTCATCTTTCGACGTCCGTTGAGCTCTGGGGCCCTTAAGCTCACCAACAGGAGACTTAGACCCGATGGGCCCGTTTTCCGGAAGGATGAGACTCCTATGGGCGAGCTCAGTTGGGAAACATTCGACTGTTCTATACCGAAGGTGCCTCTCAACAACACCAACACCATTCAATGACCATCAAGCCAACCCGATCACTCTACGATGCGCGCAGATATTTGAACAGTCAAAATCAGGTACAAGGCCAAGCTCCCTCGATCACAAGGAACTACGTGTGCAGGGACATGTCAGGTTTCTCAGGAAGCAAAAACGCTTTGCATTTGCACATATCTCGGACGGTTCGTCCCTCCAGCCAATCCAAGCAGTCTTGACCCCAGAACAAGCAACAAAGTACGTCCTGAGCCTCAGAATACAACATATGCCCGTTTAGATTTATTTAATAGGGCGGAGAATCAATCAATGGTCGCGGAGAGTAATTGACGTTGCGTAGCTTAACTCAGGGTGCTGCAGTTGAAGTTACAGGGATATGGCAACCAAGTCCCCCAGGCAAACAGCAATCCCATGAGCTTCAAGCAACAAAAGTTGACATTGTGGGAGAGGCAGATCCTGCGGTAAGTTCAATTT